ACAATATCAGAGGTCCTTTTATAGAGACCTTTTTCCCGCCCCACTTAACTGTTTACCGTTAAGTGTTAAGTATTCTGCCTCACCTTTCGCCTCTCATAAACCCTCCAATTCCTAACAATTTCATTGGGAAAGGGTAGGGGAAGAGGTGAACTTTTATAAAAATTTATATTGAACAATTGTGATATTACCATTACACGCATGTGTGTTCATTTTCTTTTTATGATGACAAAAAATAATGAAACTATTATTATTATTATAACTATAAAAGTAAAAATAAATGTTTTTATGATTTTATCATAAATATTTGTAATTTATTTTATAGGTAATTTTTTGTTATAGATAATTATTTTAGTTTAAAACTGGTTAAATTTTAAAAAATGGTCAAATCGAAAAATATAATTAAATTTAAAAGGAGGGTTGTTTAGAGGGTAAAATTGGTAAGATAATTATTTAAATATAAATGATGGTTACTGTAAGGATAAAATTGAAAAAAAAAATGTGTACCCCAAAAGGGAGAATCTCTTTTATATATTAGTGTAGGTACAAAAATCTACTCATTAGTTCTTTCATGATTTCATCCTGTATGGGGACGATAAAGGCAGCCTATAAAAGCTGCAGTTGCTGCCACTGCTGAGCATCTTGCTGGTTTGCTTCCCCTTCATCTTGTCTATGGTCAGGCCCATGAGACCGCTATTGAGGTACATTTTATGTCCAATATTTGGAATCCAGTCTACTTCTTTGATGCATTTAGTGTTTTACGTATACTAAATCCAGATATCTTTCGTTTGTTGAGGTTCAGTTCTTGTGCATTGATTGTATGGGACTGTGTTACTCTTCTTTGGGTATACCTACCTAATAATCCCTTAAATGGCAACAAATCAGTTAATTTTTACCATACTCACCTTGCAACTCCCTAAATCTCCCAAAATACAAAAAGTGATGCATGTAGCAAAAGAGCCTGCAGGAAGCTTGACCACCTTTTCAATTTTGTCCTGGTTGCAGATGCTTAATCCCTTTTTCAACAATATACATAGTCCTTTAGAGATTAGCATGTGTGAACTGTGTCCCAAGTTCGTAGAACAGTCAATGTCCATGTACTAAGATGTAACTTCGTTTTTAAGTGTATTTGAACTACCATATTGTAAGATTTATCTCTGCGTATGACAGGACTGGTTATGGTCAGTAGGATGCAACCCTTTCTCCATTACATCACAAGGTTGGCACATTTCACAGTTCCAGTCTGATTCAATTGCTAGAAGCTATGTCATCACTTCCCTCGAAGAATCAATACAACTGGTTAATTCTGCCATTCATCTTCTTCTAATGGAACGTACTAGTATCCTTACGGTGTAGCATTGCAGCCATTTAATGATAGAAAAATTACTATTTCAAAAAGCATCAATTAGATCATTATTAAAATGCGCATGTCATCTATTTCTGTAATTTCTTTAGGAACATGGCAGTGGAACTGTGATGGGGACAGGTTAGTGTATGATACTACTTTTGATGCCAGGTTGAATTTAGAGTTAGATGTAGAGAGAGAGAGAGGAAAATGGGACAGAATATCTTAATTTGATATAAAGTGAGATAAATTTAATATTACTTTTGAACCTTAGTCTAAAACCTAAGCTCATTGGCTAACTGTCAATCATCATATGAAAGCCTTCTGTGATCAAGTGATTATGAGTTTAACTATTGTTGCTTTCTCTACACTTAAAAGAGTGTATTTGGATAAGAAAAATTGGTAGGGACCAACCATTTATAAGTCAATAAGCATGCAAAATAATTGTGGTTGAGCAGAACATTTTCGTTGGTGTGATAGTTGAATCTTTTCATTAATTGGTTTCCTAAAAAGTAACATTTGTCGTTGCTCGTTGGTGTGATAGCTGAATCTTTTCATTAATTGGTTTCTTAACAAGTAACATTTGTCGTTGCTTTCTGCACACTATTATCACAATTTGTAACAATTGCAAATGGGATCACTCTGAAATATAGAATGGGACTGAGAGCACTTGTCAATGCTTAATATCTCTTAAGAAATTGGAATTAGGTCCAACTAAATTTTACAAAACCAGCTTGTAAAATAAGATTTGCATCTAGTTATATATTATAATTTAGTCTTATCTTTAGTTGATACAAGATTTCCAATACATCCTTCACAGTGAGGACTGGACATCTTGTGGGACTAGGAGGAATCCAATAGCGAGTAACATGATGTACCATCGCATTTGCCTTGTGTAAGAAAAAATATATTAAAGCATATATTATCAAATTAAACCATGTGAATGCAAACCTGCCCTTTGCTTTCAGGGGTATTATAGGGCCTTTGTTTTTCTTGAGACAAAATGAGTTAATGTGAATTCTTAACAATATAAAGCTGAAAAAACGTTCAGGATCTTCCAGTCCCAAGAGCTTGAGCTTGCAAACAAGTACAGTTATGTCGTTAGCCTTTGGAAAAGGGTAAGTGGTAGTTATTTGTAGCTTCTATTCAACTTGCAATCATATTCTTAAGTTCCATGAATGTGTTATAAATGTTGTATTCTTCAGGTATCAACTGTCACTGGAGAATTGCGTTATGTTGACGCATTGAGACTACTAAACACGTTGGAGGATGCATCCAAAAGGTTGGGCACTATTCTGCAATATGCAATTTAATGGCCTGCTTTAAAATATAGGCCAGGCTGAGCTGTCAAATTTTTAAACCTGGCCTAGAGGGGTTGGCTAATCTTTATTACTTGAATTTGTTCACATTTGCTTTTCGTTCCTCTTCTTTTCTTTCATTCCAATATAATTGCAAAATTTATCTAAGGATGAAAATATGGCTAAGCTCAACTATTTTTACTTTTCTGTTGCTCTTCATTGATTAGTAGCTAGTGATTTCATGTAGACCTACTTTATCTTATCTTTAAGTTGTACTTCAAACGCTATTAAATTTTATTTTTTTTCTGAAATTTGCTAGTTTTTGTCTGACAATCTCTCACGCAGGTTTGTTGGTCAAGTCAATGCGACCCTTTCCCTTCTTCATCCAATTAACTGCACAAGAGAGAGAAAAATACATATGGTTTTTGATATGACAACTATACCAGCTTTCTTGATTGTTCTAGGGTGCCTTTATATGGTACTGAGACCAAGGCGACCAAAACCAAAGATTAACTGAGGCTTCTAGCTACCATTTTGAATTTTAATCGAAGGGTTTTCCATGTTGGCAAGTTTAAGCTTTTGGTGGTAAGGATTTACAACCACTTTTATGATAGACGTGCATAATTTTGTCGGGTTTTAAGGCTTTGTTGGTTATGAATAGTACCTCAGCACATTTAGTTTAAACTTAGTTGTTAATGCGTCAAATTTTTCCTGTATGCAAACTGAGCATTCATGTCTTGTGTTAATGTAGAGAACGAATTCACAGTGTTATCCAAAAGCAATTAAAGGAAATTGAGTTTGATCAATATTAGTTGCATCTTTTAATTTGATTGATGTTACGCTTGCGCTAAATTGTTTGTATCTTGAAAATCATTTTAAACTAGAGCTAATCAATAAAGGCGGGATCTTTCCCCACCCTTATCATTCCTTCATGCACCTTTGTGAGGTATTGGAAAACTTTAAAGTGATCATATTTTAGATTTTTGGATTGTAAAGTACGGAAATATGATCTCGATTATACGATCTAAATTATATTTTTGGAAATTCAAAATCACATTTCAGACTGTCTAGAATATATTTCGAAACCTAAAAGTATATTTTGGATTAATCGATCAAGAATGTATTTTTAGATCATATATGATTGGAAAATGTATACTTTTACAATTTTGAATGTATTTGCAGATTATATAATATGGAAATGTATTTTAAATTGTACATTTTAAAATATTAATTTTTATTTATGTAATTTGAAAACACATTTTGGACTGTATAATTTAGAATACATTATATATTTTGTAATTTGAAATATATTTTAATTTTGTAGATTTGTAGTTATGCAATCTATAATATTTTTGGTTAACAGTTTTCCTACACAAGCATTAAAAGAAAATAAATATGGTTGGGAAAAGAAATTGGCATGTTTGATGACGTGTGGGAGCAGATAAATCTTCAGATTTGGGATTTTTTTTTTGAAGTTAAAGTTTTCTCTGATGCGATGATGTTTGAACAAATCTAGGTTTAGGTTTATAGATGCAGGTTGTTTGTGGTTGTTCGATAAAGACAAACAGGCTCACAATGACTATTGTTTGCTGATTTGCGATATTGAAGGAGATGATGGTGGTGGGTTTTGATGGCTAATAGCTTTCGCGGTGGTTCAATGACAGTGGTTGTTTTGCTGGTAGCTAGGATTAGGTTGAAAACCATGATGTGGTCATATTCAATTATAACGTTTCTACATCAACTTTTGTTTAAGTTGCCACATGTCAAAAAGTTATACTTTATTCAATAATAACTCACATGGACGTTATGTTGTTAACAATCTAGACATCATAAAAATAATTAAATTAAATAAAAATTACAAAAATTGAAACTATTTTTGAACATCCAAAAAAACTAAGAATCACTCTGAATAAAATAGAATCAAGATAGGTATTAAACCAAAACTAGTTAAGTGTAAAAGAAAAAAAAAAGGTAAAATCTTGAAAACAAAATTAATAGTTTTTGATATATTTTACTAAATATAAATATAAAATGTATTTGAATAATAAATAGTTATAAAAAAAATGGTAATATGAAAGGTATTTTTAGTTAGTTCTTATTAAATATTTTTGTTCAACTTAAAATTTTTATATTTTTTAAACGATTACTTTCACTGTTTTATTAACTAAAGGCACATTATGTAATTACTATAAAAATAATGTTATTAATTAATTATTAATTTTTTCATCAAACACTATATTTGCACAATTCATTAAGTTTCCAGATTATACAATTTATACAGAAGGGTAATGTAAGCAATTTGAAACTTATGGGTCTGGAAAAATAAATTTCTACTAAAATATAAATACAAACTGTTCAAATGAGTTTTTATCATCTAAACTTTCAACAATCAAGATTATGTTGCCTTGCTTTCGTTATGCACAAACTAAAGCAACAGTCCTGCAAACACAAACATCCAAATTCATTTGCTGGGAGATAAAGAAAACAAAAAAAATGCTATTATGAAGTGAAAGAGAGGAGGGTAGGGCTAGGAGGCTGAATAAAAGGGCCATTCTGCTTCAGAAGTCTTGGATATCTATTCAAATCCTGGCTGAAGTCACACTATGATTTGGCCCTGAAAATGAAGAGATAATATTTATTATTAATAATACAAATCAATTTGATCCAAGTTTACACAAATGATAATAATGGTTCCAAGTATAATAGCAGTTAAAAATGAATCTAGCTACGTAAAGAATGCATTCATCATACCCTACTATAATGAAGTGAGATACAGAAGGACGAAGTACAAATACGAGAGATAATAGACGAAAAATGTAAGACATCAATGCAAGAGAGTTGATCACACGGCTCTCTTTTGAATGAAAAAATGTATCACTAATTTTAATATCTCTTTCTTTGAATAAGATTACACCAACTAACCTTTCTATGTAGGAGTCATCCTCCGTGTTAACAACTATGGCCTCACCAGCTACAATGTGAGGCGGTACCTGGAGGTTATTGATCAGACAAAACAGACATTTAGTATTACCTGCACTGAATAATGATTTAATTCCATTCTTCTACAATTTTCATGAAAGATAATTCAAAAGGAAGGAAATTTTAGCACAATTAAGCATACTCGTTAGCTACATATCGATTTGATGGCATTTAATCTTTTAATCTAATAAACGTTGAATTTAGGTGTTTAAAGTAAAATAAATAAAAATTTAAATGCATTTTTCATCCTCACAAATATAGTAGATTTTTGCTTTTAATCCCTGAAAATAGTTTTATTGAAAAACTTTAAAATAATTCTTGACGGCTTGAAAGATCCTCTCACTCTCATTCTATATACAAGAAAGTTTTGATACAAAATACATGATAAATAGGGTAACCCTAGACACAATATAATGATAATAAATAAGATAACCCTAAACATAATGTAATGATGATAAATAGGGTAACCCTACACAATATAATGATGATAAATAGGATAAATATTTTAACAATGATAAATAGGATAAATACTCTAACAATGATAAATAGGATAAATATTTTAAAACTCCTCCTGAAGTTGGAGCATACAAATTGTATGTACCAAGCTTGGAATGATAAACTTAATCTGAGATTTCTTTAGGAACTTAGAAACTTCGACTTAGAACAAGATGCACGTATGCTTCAGACCATTGAGAGAGAATGTCTATAAACCAAATTGGACTCACAATCCGTCATAGCCAAAGAAACTCCTCTTGAAATATAAGAGAATGTCTATAAACCAAATTGGACTCACAATCCAGCATAGCCAAAGAGACTCCTCTTCAAGAGTGTGCAACAAACCGATGACAGTGGTCAGCGAATAGCAAAAGCGCAAAAACACAGATTGACAAACAAGTCACAACAACTTATGGAGAATAATATTGGACATTAGTGGACAACCACGAAACTTCAACAAACACCATGAAACTTCAACTAGGGACTTTGATAAAGGAGATTTCCATTAAAAGTGGATGACAGCCAATAATGGTAGACAACGACAAACTGTAGGAACTAAATTGCCATTTGACTGATGGGACCTGTAGTGGCTGGAAGCGACAAAACTACATGGACTAGATTGCCATCAAGTAAGGATGGGCCTGCAGTGGCTAAAAGCGACAAACTACAGGGATTTAAATTGCCATCACTAACTGATGGAGCTTGTAGTTACTGAAAGCGACCAAACTGTAAGGACTAAATTGCCATCAAGAAAGGATGGGGCCTGAAGTGGCTGAAACATACTCCCCCTCACGGCGAATGAAGGAAATGCTAACGACCGATGACAAACCGTTAAGGTGGAAGGTTATAATGGTCTCCTTTATTCAACAAAGCATCCAAAAACATGACAAGGGGCTGGTGAAATTGTTTGACTAAGATTCTGAATCTTGCCAGAAATAGATTCCCCTCATGCCATGAGCAACCTTCAACCATGACTTTGGTGTTGAAATTCCTTGATGTTAACCAGCTGATAACACCGTGTTACCAATGAGGAGCATTGGTATCTTGAAGATATTGAAGTTTTGATGATGTTACAAGCTAAAGAATTGAAGACTCTTGTTGTATTTACATTAAAAGCCTTTTGTAGAAATATTTGTATAGGAATAACTTTGATGATGTAAGAACACTTAGAAGTTTTCTTGTTTAGGGAATGTTTGTGCAGATAATCGATTATTTGGTGTAATAATTGATTATCACGAGCTAAAGTAGAAAGAGATTGCTCGTGCAAATAATCGATTATTTAATAGAATAATCGATTATCTCTGTCTGATTCAGTATTGCCCAAGTCGCGCAAATAATCAATTATTCTTCAGGATAATCGATTATCAGTTTTTGAAAACCCCATAACGGACACAAATAATCGATTATCACTTATGATAATCGATTATCACTTATGATAATCGATTATCACTTATGATAATCGATTATCACTTATGATAATCGATTATGACTGGCTGTTGGGAGATGTCTTTTTAGTTTCTGACTTTGCATGAACCTGGGCTTATAAATAGAGGTCTTCACAGCTCTTAGAAAGAATCTTTTCATTTGAGAGTATTAAAGTTGTGTGCCTAAGGGAAACTCTCTGTGAGTGAAAAAAGGGAACTAACTCATTTGAGAATACAGAAAAAGTCTGAGGAAGTTCTCAAGTGTTAGTGTTGCTCGAATAAAGTCTTGTGAAAAGAAGAAGCTTGCGCTTAGTGGGTCTAAGCTCAAAGCGGTTCTCTTCAAGTTGATTGAGCAGGTTCTTCCTTTCGTTTGTTGAAGGAAGGTGTTATCTGTTCTTTATCTTTATTCCATCTTATTGTAATATGTAAACAATATTTTAGTGAAAAAGTTAATCACTGTTTATAGTGATTAACGACTGGACGTAGAATCTTTTTGATTCGAACCAGGATAAAACATCTTGTGTGATTTTCTCTTACTCTACACTTTTAATTTACCAACTGTTAGATAAAAGTCTTAAAAGAAAATCATGATTTTTAAAAGAACCAATTACGTACCTGAGTACGTAAACTAACCAAATACAACCTTTCACACTCTCTCACACGTAACAGAACAATAAACGAATGATATTGGATGAATGAATCTCTTTTATTGATGGTAATATCTAAATAAACAAGGATAAACAATAATTGGGAGAGTAACCTCCCTCACAAGACAATAATGTCTGTCACAAAACTCAATAATCAAAAACATGTCTTTAACCCTAAACTCTAACTTTATTTATATTAATTATTTCCCGCCCATCTCTTATTCAATATTTCTCTAGAATATATTTGCATTTAATATAAATATCCTTATATTTAATATTTAATATAAATATCCCTATATTTAATATAAATATCTCTCCGTATATTATCCTAGTATCCTTAATTATAAATATCTTATATTGAATCTTTTCCTAAATATATATTTATTTACTCTAATTAACTTATACTATATTTATTTAATCTAATTAACTTATACTAAATATTCTCTCTGCTCATATACTTTCCAACCCTTATTATTACCCCTACCTTATATCGTGACATTACACCCTACTGCAAAACAACCTTCTCCTCGAGGTTGGAAACGGGGAGCTTGATCTCATGGCTCCTCATCAATTCATGTCTGGAGGTTCGGGCGGTGGTAAAACCTTCTCTAATGTCTTCCATTCTTCGTCTAACATTCTGGTTACCACTTCTCCTGAATCATAAGCCTTGAGAGAATGGTTTTCTATGTGTTTCAGTACTTCACGTCGCTCTCTTCCTTCTGCCAGTGTACCAAACACTGCAAGCCCCCT